CTTGTCGACTCCAATTCCTTTCTCATAACAACATCCAACATTTAATGCTCCATCAACATAACCCATTTCTGCTGATTTTCGATAGCTATCGAAGGCCTTATGTTCGACTCCTTTTCCTTTATAATATTCTGCAGCCTTATAATAATATTCGCCTGCTTTGTATTTATCCTTTTCAACTCCAATTCCATATTCATAACAATATCCAACATTATATGCTCCATCAGCATCCCCCATCTCTGCAGATTTTTTATAATAAATGAATGCCTTATGTTCATCCTTTTCAACTCCAATTCCATTATCATAACAATATCCAACGTTACATGCTCCAGTAGCGCTACCCATCTCTGCAGATTTTTGATAATAAATGAATGCCTTTTGTTCATCCTTTTCAACTCCAATTCCATTTCGATAAAAATATCCAACATTATATGTTCCAATAACATCCCCCATCTCTGCTGACTTTTGGTAATAAATGAATGCTTTATGTTCATCCTTTTTAACTCCAATTCCATTTCGATAACAATATCCAACGCTATTTGTTCCACTAACGCTACCCATCTCTGCAGATTTTTGCCAATAAATGAATGCCTTATGTTTATCCTTTTCAACCCATTTACTATAAAAATAACAACTTGCAAGAATGTTATAAACCACAGGATCGAATTGATTATCTAAGCAGCAATTAATAATATTATTTGGATTTTGATTCTTTTTTGTTAGAAATTGTTCTAATGTTTCAAGAATTGACTCGGAATTTTTGCCTTTTGATCTTTCTTCATTATACAAATCACACATTTCTTTAATAACTTCATTAACAAAACCCTTATCGTCTTCTAAATGCAATTGAATAACTTTGTTGGATATTTGAGTAACATCTGATGAATTGTTGATTTTTTCTAGCTGCTTTACAATTGACATTTTGACGTAAAAAGGAATATGTTGCATATGGATTCATTATCGTGCTTTTCTAATTACTGTGATCGGTATCACACATCACGGGAATCATGGGAATCAGGAATCTATTAAAATGCAAGCCTATGATTGGCTAAAAATTATACTAGCCAATTGTATTGTGTATATATATTATGTTCCAATATTGGCTGTTTTTTAAACCTTGATTAAAGATTTTCAATAATGGCACGACCAATTTCGATGCTTAAGATCATTTTCGAATTTTGCTAACCTGTAGAATTTGAAAATAGTTCGAAAATCGAAAATGAACAGACATCAAATTTTGTTTCTCAATCAGAAAAAAAAAAGGATATTATGCCAAAAAATCGGAATTCAATTAAGTGGCAATTTTTTTTAAAAAATGAATTTTAACATCGATTATCAAAATTATGTAACGTCATATTAATAAACTTTTTTCTTCAAAAGAGAGAGTATATATGTGCAAATATAATTTTGAATTCTGTGAGACGAGCTCTATAACGTCATGGAGCTATTTTGTCGAGTATTATATGATATATGGTAAAAACAAGTTACAAAAACCGATTTATACCATAAAAATTGAAAAGTATGTTTCTTCGTTTTACTTTGTTTTATATAACCATTTGAAAAAAAATGGCCCTGTTCCATTATAAAGTATGTCACACAGAATTCAAAATTTATATTTGCATTTATTTAATCTCTTTTTGAAAGAAAAGAAGACCAAATTTTGTTTTCAATAATTTATTAAAAAATTGAAAGCACGATAAACGTAATGAATTAGTCATTCTTGAATATTATGAATTAAATGTTCTTGAATATTAACGAACGAACGAATTTAGTGCCCGTTTACATTAAAAATACGATTTTTTGACATAGACATTCCTAATGCATTGTTATTTCTTTAGTTGTTTATTTTCCTTGCTATTATGAATTTTAAGAACCCGATCAAAAGTCGTCAGAAAACTATTATAAAAAATTCGTGTGTTCGATTTTTTTATTTTATTAACATTAATATTAATTTAATATCATCCTTTAATTAGAGGAAATTAAAAAAATGACGTCAATTAATAATTTAAAACAAATATCTCTTATCCTGACGTTTTCTAGGCAAGTTGCAACCACCCTCTGTATATATTAATAGAAAAAATAGAAAAGAACATACTGTGCCAAAAAAAAAAAAGATATAAAGAAAAATTTGTTAAGGGCCAGTGCGATGCTACCCTCTAATTGGCCAATCAGAAAATCAACGCGATCGTGATTTTTTTCAAAGATCACTGGTAATTTCTTTATAAAACTACTTTATAAAAAGAAAAAAAAATGTCTTTAAAAAGTTTTAAAAAACATTTTATCTTTTTCATAACCTATTCTATGGTCATCTAGACACACCAAATCTGCACCACTCGTTATAATTCAGTGACAGACCAATCAAAAAGTACCTTGCCAATCATTGGTCTTTGAAAATTCCTGATATTTTTTTGTTAAATTGCATCTTTTCGATGAATAAGCCAATTTTCCAAAAAAAAAAGAAAGTGCAATTTGCAAGCCTTATCTAAAACTATATACATTTATTTTTGAGAATGTCCAAATATTTATTGAGAAATTACAATTTATATATTTGTTTTAATTCAATTAAGGGTAGTAATGCAGCGCACTAGAAATAAACAATCATTTGCTTCAATAATGAAAATATTAATGACAATATGTATTTTTAGTAAACCAAATAATAGTAAGATTAGAGAGAGAGAAGGAATACGTAGAAGAGAAATAGCAGCATTAGAAGAACAGTTAGAACAAGAGAAGACGGAGAAAACTGAAGTTGAGAAAACTACTTGGCGAGTAGTAAATTATTATGGAGTTAAAAAAAGAACATCAATATTTAAAAGATAATTAAATATTATAAATGTGATAATTTGAATTATATGAAATCAGGTGAGCAAAATTCTCATTTAAATTTATAATTTATAACGATAATAGAACAAAGAAATAATTATAGCGCTACATGATTTTTTAATGATCAGGGAAAATTTGAGATTTTAGATTGTATGTTGTTTACATTTTCGATCGGTTACGTTTATATTCGAAATCGATGAAATTCTCAAAAATTAATAGAATCTCCGATTCCCACAATATGCGGTAATATAAATCTGGGGTCGTCTAAAGCCATGTACCCACGTAACTTTTTTGTGTAAATCAACCAACCGGAATTGCGAAATTTTGTTTAC